TAGCTGCTACCCCCTATTTCCCTTGAACCAGCCATACAATCAGACTAGGAGTCTGACATCCCTAGATTGTGGTTGTCTGTCTCTCTGTCCATCTGTCTTTCTCTTCCCACACTACCTTCTTGGCAGAATGCCCTTGGAAAATTAAACATCGCTTCCAGACAGAAACCGAACATGGGAAGAGAGCTGTACTCATTTCTACATCATTAAAAATGGTAGGAAAGAGCCAAGTCTTTCTAAAGTAAAACAACAAACAAACAAACAAACAAAAACACCTCTTTTGGGTTTGTTTTTTGTTGTTGTTGTTTGTAGTGGTGGTTTTCTTTCATTTGTTTGGTGATAATATGCTCAGTGTTGGTGGAGTTATGGTAAGAAGGAATTCCCACTGTTAGTACAAGTGCAGTTCGATAGAATCTTTTTGTTTTGTGTTTTTCTTGTTGTTGTTGTTAAGTGCAGTTTGATAGAATCTTTTTGTTTTGTGTTTTTCTTGTTGTTGTTGTTTTTTGAGACAGGGTCTCACTATGTAGTTTAGGCTGACCCAGAATTCACTATGTAGCCCAGGCTGGCCTCGAACTCACAGCAGTCCTCCTGCCTCAGCCTCCCAAGTGCTAGGATTGCAGACGTGCACCACCACACCCAGCTTGATAGAATCTTTTTGAAAACTATTTGGCAGGATATATCAAAATGAAACTCCTGGCCTTTGACCTGCTGGTTTCACTTCCAGGAATTTTTGCTAAGGAAACAATTGGTGACACAGGCAGTGATTCACTACAGGGATGCAGTTACAGCACTGTTTATGGTAGCTAAGGGGGGATGGTAATTTGAACATACACAGGGTGAATGGTTATATAAAGCAGGGTGTACTGTCTAATATGATGCCCTCTAGCCATTTTAAAAATGTGGTATCAAAACTTATTTGGTGACATTGTAAAATCTTTTCTTAAGCGATTTAAAAAACATGCTGTTAACTGTTGGTAGTAATATGCCCCCCGAAAAGGGACAAGGAATACAAGATATTGATAGTGATTTCCAAGGGTGTAAATAATGGATGACTTTATTGCTTTTGCTCTTACTTTTTAGTATTTTTCAGTTTTCTACAAAGCCACCTAGAATTTTGCTTATCTGAATTTAGAAAGATTAATTTGTTTCTCTATGTTCAGTTTACCTCTCCAATGAGAACACCTCTCATCTTGTACCAGCTCCATGATCATGGCAGGGAGAGCAGAGAGGGCCTGCCATATCCATCATCAGATAGGGAGCCTTCCTAGATATCCCTGTCCACAGCACGGCAGGCCTGACCTAGCTCATGTACCAGGCATCCCTTCATTCAAGTGAGTCACCGCAGAAGGGTGTCAAGCTGATGAGATTGCTACATACTGTACTTGAACTATCAGCCACAAGCCTGCGTGCTGCCAAGCCTTTTAGCCTTATCTTCCTAACCCGTTATTCTTTCACTGTCCAGCAAATGTCAGAGGAACTGACTGGGACTGTGTGACTCCTTTTGAGGAGATGGTAGGCCAGCAAACTACAGCTGATGCAAGCCTTCCAATTGGATGCAAACCAGACCAGCAAATGTTCCTTCCATGCTAAAGTCGAAGCTGTTGTTGCTGTAGATGGGCCTTGATGAGGAGGTTTGGCAGGACCAGAACACAGGAATATTTAGGGCAAAAAGTGTTCTGGGTTATTCAGCTCAGATACACCCAGCTGGACCAAGAATTGTAGAGAAGTCTCTAGGGGTCATCTGCTGAAATGGTAGTTATAAAGTTATTTCCTCCTATCTTAACCACAATCATTTGTTCTCTTTGGCCTCACTAGTGGGAAAAAAAAAGTTGAGAATTCCGTATCAGAGGGTGTAGAACCAAAAGGTTTGTTTTTGTTTTTTGGTGGGTATTTTGGCCAATTTTGTTTTGGATTTGTATGGAGTGAGATTTCTTTTTGTCAATTGTCATTTTTATGAGATTATACAGTCTTGGGCCATTATCATCATTCTTGTGTATCTTTTATCCTATTTTAATGCTGTATGAGTTGCATCAAAACTAAAATACAATTTTCTTTGTCTCTTAGAGGAGTATTTATATGTACACAGACCTTCTTTTGCTATAAGCATCATTGTAGAATATAAAATATGTAATAATGTTATTGATAGTGACATTTATGATATGTCTTGAAGTACAAATGAATAAAAAGTGTAATCCTCTTAGTTTAAAAAATCATAGAAGTACTATGGAGTACTTTGTGTTGTTACTTTGAGTACACTGTACTTTGAGTGCATTGTGTTGTTATAATAACTCAAAAATAGTGGTAATAAATTTTAAATTGTCATTTCAGAGCAAGTAAATGTTATTGCTCTTACTAAAACACAAACAAATGAAATTCTATTGGTTCTTAACATTTTCAGCTGATACTATGGGCCATTTGCCATGGGGATTGAAGAGTAACTTCTTACAGTGGTTATGAATACCCTGCATTCCAGCTGCACCCCCAGATAATTTTAGTCATTTTCTGTTGGCCAAGAACCACTTAGAAATCTGAGAATGTGAAAAAAAATAGTCAGAACCCACATTGTGTTCCCTGGACTGTGTTCCCAAATACGCCTGTAGTTAAAGGCACAATTCTTGGTTTAGATGTGCTAGGAATCAAGAGATGTTTCCTAAACATGATAGTTGTTTGTTTTTTTGTTTTTTTGTTTTTAAAAAAAGCTCTGAGGACTTGTATTGTCCTGTGGTAACCACGATCAAAGGGACAAAGTAGTCCAGGCCTGTGTACCTGGGCTGTTCTCTTGAAACTCTGAGTTGCTCCTGGTCAGACTCCCGTTCCAGGGCTGATGCTAGGTGAAGGACTGATGCTAGGCCTTCCTGCTGGGACGTTATCTTGTGGACAGGGTCACAGAGAGAGGAGTGAGACCATGAGACCTCTGCCAGCACAGTACTACAGACCATGCAGTGGGTATGAGGCAGCCCTGCTCCAAGACTCAAGACAGAATCAACCAGAGCGGGTGTGCAACTAATAATAGAGTAACTTACTCCTCAGCTGATGGCTCTTACTGTCTTTTATTACAGTTTTTAAATTTTTTTTTAATCTGTCCCATTTTGACAAAGATATTTTAAGGTCTTTGAAGTCAGGGACCTTGAAAATTCCATTTATCATGTTTATCAGTCTAGGTGCTCCATCATGAATCTTTGCTGGATTGAGAAAAAATTTAAATATACATACTCTTTAAATTTAGTTTCATCCTATATATGAATTCCATCTGCTATATGAATCTACTAGTCAGAACGTTGGAGGCAGGATTATGGAGTTTGTTGGAATTTACAATGTGTTGAATCTTATTGAATCTCTCTGTTGCTATATTCCTGTGTTCCTTTTTAAAATGTGGTAATCATCTAAAGGAAACTCGTAAATCAGTGGTTAAGAAGATTGCTAATGCTATGGCTGGGCCTGCAAAGAAGCTTGGCATAGCCTACAGGAACAGAATAAGCCCTGCTGTCTCCGCACCCTGGTAACAAGAGCCCTGGGCTTGGGGTCGAGGGTGGGGATTTAAACTGTGTCCTCATCACTTATAGGCTGTACTCCAAGCAAGCCTCACCTTAGCACAAGTTTTCATACCTGTAAATGGAAGTTTTATATTGCCTGTTTATGGGATTCCTGAGTGGATTAAGGAGATTCATTAACTTATTGGTTATTTATTGAATACCTACAGGCATTATTTTAGACATTGGAGATATAGCAGTAAGCAAAAGAACAAAATTCCCTGGCTCCTGTGGGTTTATATTCTAGGAAAATAATACAATAATGTCATTTAGTAAATGCGTAATCAGATGCTTCTGAAGGTACCTGACAGACGTACACAATGAGATTTTGCTGTATGTGTCCACAGGTCTTTAGGTAGGCAGTGGGTAATTAGAACCATTACTGGGTCTCATGTCTGAATTGGTGTAACCCTACGGAAGTCCCGTTAAGTAGGACATTTATGTGTTCTTGCTAAATCCCAGTCTGCTTAGAAAATCTGTTCCCCTTAAATTAAACCTCCATGAAGTGCTTGGCCTGAACAGCCCAGCAGTTGGCCACATTCCAGGTGCTGCAGGTGGTGTTGTGGCTGGATGGTTTGTTTCTACTCTTCTCAGCTATTGTATTTGCACTCTTTGTGGTTTAATGTGATTTCATGGAGTTGCTAAGGTGTTTGTATAATTTGTGGAAATTAGTCAAAGAGCTGGCATAACCAATTAAAATCCACACATCATATTTTAGTCAGTAAATTCAACCTTTCCTCTCCAGACCTTTGATGAACTACCATCAAAGACCCAAAACAGACACATTTAAGGTTTCTGTTCTTTTTATTTTTTTTTAATCGCCTTCCTACTGGGTCCTTTTCTTTGAGAATCAAAATGTACAGAGTCCATGGAGGAGAAAGGTCAGGCCTAGACAGCAAACCTCCCAACACTGTACGCTGCCAGTAATTGCATTCAGTCTCCTAAGTTCGTAACTGTTACCGCGATTCTAATACAGTGCTTGGTTCTCCAATGGCAAACACCCCATTTAGTATAAAATGTAAACAGGACATTGTTTTCTGGCTGAATGGCCTTTGTGGCCCACAAAAATTGTCATTTCTGCTGAGACATGATTTTAAAATACTCACACAACAGCGGGAGCTGAAGACTGATGATACGCCAGTCTGTTGGAGAGCGAGGCTGGTGAGGGGATATGGGTGTTGGAGTTCATGTACGTGAGGTACAATGGACATGACTGAAGATGCTCCTGTCACCTAGAACTAGTTCTGCCGGACAAAGAAACATGTTTGTACTTCACGGAATCACAGAACGTGGGTTCCTGGGAAGATGTGGAGGTCTGGTCTGGAGAAATGTGACTTGGCACTGGCCACTTGTCCCTGGGTGTCAGTGCTCCCATGTGCTGCTCCAGCACCCTATCATTTGGCCTCCCATGAACCTCCTCCCATTGTGGTTTCCCTGTGTGCTGATGAGTTTTCTGGTTATTCTGTCTTGCAGCCCCCCGAATCCAAGCCCAACTTCACCCCTCTCGCCATCATGGCCCATGTTCTCGGCACCATCCAGCCCTATGCCCACCTCATCCACGTCCAGCGACTCATCCCCCGTCAGGTCTGTGGCAGAGTTTGTTTGGTTTTCTGTTGCTGCTGTTGTTCTCTCATTGGCTTGGTCCTCTCTTCATGCAGTGTTCAGCCTCCTCGTCAACTTTGTTCCCTGCCATCCAAACCTGCACTTGCTTTTTGACAGGCCAGAAGAAGCTGTTCATGGAGATTTCAGGTAAAACCACAGATGATGACCAACCTGCTCCCATTTATCCCAAGCTGGTCAGGGACAGCAGGGGCCGCCTCTGCGCTCCTGTGGTTCCATCCTAACAGACTAAAGCCAGGAGGGACTATGGTGTGAACCCACATGACATTTTTCACTCCTTTTCTAAACCAAACCCAAGCCTCAATAAGGCTGCCGTTTAGATGGCTCGCTCTCAGCCATCTGGGCGCTCTGTGTTTTGATAGAAGATAGCACAAAGGAACAGTATTGAGATGTGTGGTGGCCTCTCCTTGTCTCATTTTTGTCAGGTAACACCAGGCAGTATTTATTTGTGGAGCAGCCCTGAGTGCTGACGCATAGTCCCACGGAGCAGATTCACTGGATGAGAGACGAATGCAACACCGAATAAAAGACTGAGACATGAAGCAGTTTCTCTTTAAATTGATCATGGCCTTTCCCTCTGGCTCTCTCTCCTCCAGAAGTCATCTGGGCTCCCAGTCTGCTTCTGGCTCTCGTGTCATGCACCCGAGAGCTGCAGGAACAGGCACCTCCTCTTCAAGGGCGAGCGGCCTGACCCCGTTCTCCCCAGGGGCTGTGCTGTCCTGGTGACTTCCATACTTAAATTCTTTGCTCTTGAGCTCTTTGTAGAAAAGAAGCTCTTCAAATCCAAGGAAAAAGTAAAGATTCTACAGAATCCATCAGCTATGTAGGACCTGAGCTTGAGTAGTCTTTCAATTTAGGCCTTGCTTCCAGGTAGCCAAGCTATACCATCCAATTATAAATATCATAAACATTTTGGGCTTTGGCAATATTTTCTTATCTGTCTTTTCTGCAAAGGTGAGTCAAGCAGACAGGCTTAAATAATTTATAAAGC